GCACACACACACACACACACACACACACACACACTCCTGTATCATCTACTCAGTTTGTCTTTGGTTCCACAGATCATTACTGACTGCAGCACCTATTTCACTTGAAGGAGCCAATCAGCTTAGTGCTCTCTCTAGAAATAAAGAACTTGGGAAAAGATGACAAAAGTATCATGTAGAGTGCCTGCAAGTGCTTCCTGGTGCTCACAAGTTTTCTAAGACAACCCAGCCTCTATGGCACAGTTGGTAGTGTACTGGATTGTGGAGGTAGAATTCCTGGTTGAATAGCATTTCGTTTACTAGAAATCAGCCTTAATAAAATATTGAAATATTATTTGCTCAACAATATAAGTCCTCAAATCTTATGAATAGCTAGAAAGAGTGATAAGAATTTACTTATATTAGCTCAGTGGTTTGTATACATTTTATGCAGAAATAATTGCTCTCTGTCCAATTTAGCTTTCATAATACAACTCTTTTATTAAAAACCTTTCAGAATAATGACTTTTTCTCTCAGCTATGATTTGTAGATCAGTTTCTGAACTAAAATGAACAAACAAGAAAGACCAAGGATGTGTCTGTTAAGAAAGAACCGTTTCTGACATTTGAGGGATATGTTTCCCTACTGAAGTCTGCTCTCTGTGAAATTCAAGAACAGGGCAGAGGCTCCCACTCACTGCTACTCTGCTTCTCCTGGGGGTCTTTAAGAAGAACCCATGCATTTGTGAACATCTTTAAAACAGCAAACATGAGCTTCATCATCCAATCAATAAAGATTATAGAAGACCCATGAGTCTTCTCCAGGAATTAGTTGCTACTTCAAAACACTGCTACATTTGAAAAGGAATTCTCTCAGGCACCAGTGGATTAATCTTGCCATTTATCCACTGAGATAAATGAAAAAAGAAACAATGCCAGCAAACACTATTCTTTCACTATTCTCAAAAACCAAACATTCTAGAGTAAAAAGGTCAAGATTTATAAGAAGCAGGAAGTATGCTGAGGCCTCCAAAAATAAAATAAATTCCCTTGCTTACTTTGGCTGTGTACTTATATTTCTATCAGACTCAAGTCCAGATTGTGGCATGTAAGAAATATTTCCTCGAGAATTAATCTTAGAAGATTCACCTACCACTTTGTTTTTCCTAGGCTACCTAATGGGTTGGAATGTGCTAAAAAAAAAAAAAAAAAAAAAAAAAAAAAAAAAAAAGAAAGAAAGAAAA